CAGAGAGCAGACGAGAGCGATCCTAGCTGCTCCTCGCTGTTAACAGTGTGTTTCATAGTCGATCACAGCTTTGGATTTCTTCCTTTAGAATGGCAAAAAAACGTAAGCCTGAGTTCAGTAATTGTTGCTTTCACTTGAAGCTGGACTGATGTGTACATTTACATGTACAGCCAAAGTACACTGAAGTGGTTGTGAAACACTGACGGCATACAGGTGGCAGCCACACAGTGCTGGACAGTACATGAAAGCAAACCTCAGTGGGGAATAAAGGGGATTTAAGTTATTTTTTTATACATTTAACATTCCATAGAGAATACAATCAACTTCCCTCAACACACACACACGCTCACTCATCCACTCCCACATGCCTGAACAGCAAAACATTTGTAAATATTGTCTTGAAAATTATCATTCATATTCACAATCTATTTACACTAGCGTCTCGAACATTGAAGTATTCATTCAGAAAAAACGTCTTTTTTTTTTTTTTTTTTTTTTACAGCAGACATATTTGTACATATAACCACAGAGCAGCATGAACCTGAACCCTCTGCCTGCCTCACAATGACATTCATAAACCCAAATGTCCAGACTAACATGGACGACATCACATTTAACGAAACATGCTCTTACAGTGTTGGCTGATGATACATTAACATCGTTTAGTGCTCGAGAGAAACCTGGTAGACCGCTTTAACTATGTGGCTCATTTAATAATAATAATAGACAAATTCATGGTTAAGCATTTAGAGGAAGAATGTGCGACATTTTACACATAAATATAGCATAAATCCAGTATATCCTCTGTAAATATCTCTCTAAGTCGTGACTGTCTACAATGAGTAAAAAGAGTGAGTCCCGCTGGCTGTGTTGTTGTCTGAGCCGTGTTTACATGGACAGGACGGCCGGACGGATAGTCCCTGTGTATTAAAGCTGTTAAAGTGAGGGACTATAGAAAAGAAGAATAACATACTGTACTGAATGCTTTTTGAATGTCACGTTAGCGTTTTTAGATCATGGTCATTCCATGTAAATTTACATGCAATGTGAAGCTACGAGCTAACCAAAGAGCGCTAACCATTAGCATGCTTACGCATAATTACGTCCACCGCTTGCTCTTAGCACTAAGTGCTTAATTACGGTGTTTTCCAATTCGATAACTCTTTTTTGCAAACTCAAGTGGAGAGGGGTTGGAGGTGTGTCGCTGGAGGAGAGCGGGGGCTTCAGAATAGCGGAGGTGTGGCCAAACATCAGTTTGTTTTGGTTTCATGCTGGTGCTCCAGGGCGACATCTAGTGGATCAAAAAGTCGCACATTCTTCATTTAAAACAGACCAAACTACAGCATGTTGAAGTAACTTACTCCCCTAATGTTTTTAGCCACAGGGGTATTTTCTTTTTTTTGCAATCCCAAGCTCAAGAAAAAGCATCAACAACACTTAAAAATGTTTTCAAAAAATGCATAGTGTTCAATGGTCATGAAAACATGGTTACAGTGAATAATTAGATTAAGGTGACCGTAGGAATAAAGCCCTTATATGTTAAAAATCCCCTCAGTAACACATGAAGAATAACATGAACTGGCTTTAGTGTTAGGTTAGAAGAGACAAATGTAACATGTTAACATACTAAAAAAAAAAAGATTGAATTAAAATGCTGAATACTGAACTACAGAGTCATGCAGTACAAGACATGTGGGTGCTTCCCTGATAAATGCACATTTAAAATAACAAAATTAATCAGGCTAACTTGGTCTTTGATTCTTAAATCCACCATAAAAAAATGTAACTTAAGCCCTAATTTGACTGGATGAGTTGTGAGGACAGCGTGCATATACTGTAGCTGTAATGAGTTTTCCTTTCCAAATACGCAAGATTCAAGTGTTTCAAAAACAATGCAGTCGATCTGGTGAGTGTGTTTAGGGCCTGTACATATATCAGATTAAAAGGAAAAGAGGATTTCTATGTAAGGATAATTCTCAGGTAATAGGACATGTTTAAAAACAATTAAAAATGGTCATATTCCTGAAGCTGTGCAGTGTGGCTTTACATTAATACAACCCAAAAAGGCTGAAGACTAGTAATGCCTGAATGTCTCACTTTTTAAAAAAATCCTTGACCTCTCTAATTCCTCACATTAATGTTTAATTTTTGCAATCAATGTGAATGAATTATGTGGTGACAATAGTCCCAAACAAATTACCTTTTTAATACTGTTCATCCCCTTTCACACATGCACTGCACTCCAAATTTCCAGGAATTTTTGTTTTGTTTTGATGTATGAACACAAACAAATTTTTTTCAGCAGGATTTACCCAGACTTCTCTGCTCCAGCTTTCTAGTCGTTAGTAGTTTCGGCAGGAGGTCAGGTTTGTTGATGTACCTTCAAGCTAACAGGATGGGGTAATAACGCTCATAATCTGTGACCGGGCCAGGGACTGGTGTGATTTTAGTGTACATAATGAAACTGTGCTCAGTATGTTCTCTGATCTTTTCTTTATACCTCGAACGCAACCAAATATAATGGAAAAAACTGTCAACATGGCTTCTAACTTTGTTGCTTGTCTGCCATTTTCGTGCGTCATTTTTATGACACGTCTTGCTTGCCCGTCTGACAGCGAAATCTTCCCATCATGAGAGGCATGTGTGAACACGTCACTCAGGAAGATTTCAGGGGCAAGGAGTCTGAAATTTTCTAGAAATTAACAGTACATGTGTGTAAACGGCTTACAGTCAACTTTTGCTAAAAGCTACGGTGCCCAGCTATTTTAGGAACATATCTTGAAATGTGAACTATGTACTTCTGGTTTATTTTTAGAAAATAATGTCCCAAGTAGGAGAAAATTAGGTAAAAGATTAAAGCTAATGATTGGGTAGAAAGGTTGCAAAGTATTACAAGAGCAACTGGCACGTTGGATGGAGGGGAAAAAAACAAGAATGCTGGAACTGTCCATTCAGAGCTGGTTAAAGAAAGAAGGTGCTGCTCTTAAAGAACAGAGATCATGAATTCATACAGTTCGATTGGGTAGCATTCAAAGTCAGTGCCAAAGAGCTGTGAGTTTTAATACACACAACGGTGCAGCAAGCCAGAAGTGAATTCCACAAAGCTTGGGTGAGATTTGATCTACAGTTTGTTTTCTTTCAGTGTAAATTGACTTTCTTCCAGCTGGTGTGTCACACCTTTCTGACATTCCAAGCAGATTAAAACAAGCACTATGTTTATAATTTGCCGATACTTTTCAGCACCAGTCGGTGCACATAAAAAAAGGTTCATGGCAAGACGTTGAATGGGTCAATACAGTTCACTCCAGATTCATATGCAGCTGGAGTTCAGCCCTTAATGCAAGTCCACTTCTATCTCAAACAGCGTCGTTTTCAAATACTTGGTTCTAACTCATTTATCAAATGAAATGGAGCCATTTGTTTCCATACCATGCACTAGTCTTTGGCTATAATTCAAAAATAAAGGGATTGGTTTAATTGCTTCTGACAAAGACGTGACAATCTGATAAGCGTGAGTGAGCACCCGACATTTCACCGCTCTACTCTCTGAGTTAAGTCTAAAAGGCTATCACTACGAGTGACACAATCTGAACTACTGTAGTTATGACAGCGTCAGGAAAAGATGACATTTGAGTTCTTTCGAGTTTGTCACATTGAATGTAACTTAGAACAAAAAAAGGACCTCAAGCTTTGGACTCCAACCATTCCATTTAACCCACATGTATTGGCTTTTTTTTAAAACAAGAAGATGGAAGTGTGTTACATATTTTGGTTTTGCTGCTCATACCTAAATAAATAGTTCAGATTTGCTATATTTTGACCGGTTCTCAAATTGTGAAAAACCAACCCATCTCTGTGTACTGTTGGGTGACAAAGGGTTCGACAAAGGGTTCGCCAAAGGATCACCAGACACAACAAAAACCCAACCTATCCTCCATGTTTATCCCCTGCTCTATACAATTCCTACTGTGCTGTTTCAGAGCGGTAGATTGTGTCAACAAAACAAAACAGCCAAGATAGTAGACTCTAGTTGTGCATGCTCAAAAAGCCTCTGAGGTCCTTGGTGGTATTGTCAGTTTCAACATCTGAGTCCTCCATGGTCACAGGTGAGTATAAGTCAAAACCACACTGAACCAAGTGCACAGCTGACATCTAAAGCCCTGGATCATTAACTGTGACGTCACAACAACTGAACTGAAAGTACCGACAGAAAAACCTAAATCCAGAAAACCGGTATTTGCCAGCTCACAGTGCAGCTGCAGTTTTCCCTGAGCACATTCGAACTGGGCGCGGCTTGACGACGCAAAAAAAGTGAGATCATGGCTTCTTAAGAAGGGGGAAAGGAACACGCGCTTGCTTCTCCATTTTGGATTCATTCTCTACAAATGCGAAACCCTCTGAGGGCCCATGTGGAGGAGGTTAAATATCTCAGAGGCGATTTGTAACTGGACTGCGTTGCTCAGGGGTCCTCAAATAATTAGCCATCGCGTAGTCGCAAACATTCTCCACCGGAGGCAGTTTTCCAGAACATTCCTCCATCGATCCTTTTCTTTACCTGCTGCATGTTTCATACTAACCTGTATGTGTTACCCTGTAAAGGGTGATTGTTACAAAAGTCTTATAAAGTAAGAAAAAGAATAAACAAATCGGAAACTTTCAGACAATCCTCTAACATCCACTCTAAGGTTTACAATCTCTAATCTCTGATTAACACTGGTGGATGGCGGCTAATCCGTGTCTGAGAATTTATCCGACCCTTCTCTGTGCAAAAATACATAAAGAGCTTACTTATGTTTCCATATCTGAACAGTCGTATGGTACCTTTAAAGCACTTCTTAAAGCACAAACATACAAAGAAGCCCATAAGGACATAGAAAATGTCTTACAGGTGCTATATGTAACATTTAAAGATGAGGAGATCACTGTCACATTAGTGTGATACGTTGGTAAGAAGTCAGTACGAGGTGTCTTAAGAAGCCTCTTGTCTGCACTTCACACAGTCAACAGATTGGATTTGGAGGGATTCTGCTTGATTGTTTTATGGCACTTCACAGGAAGGTGGCGCTGTTCTTCTAGAGCAAAAAAAGAGCCATAACTTCAGTGGTTAAGCGGTGGAGAAATGAAGGGGTCATGGAGATTGGAGTCTTGATTCAATGCTAGTACACATGATAATCAGAGAACACTAACCCTCTTGGCCATAGTGTTGTTTTTTTTGACAGTGATTGTACCAAAATAGCATTTCTTCTGTGACGATGATAACCCTTTTTTTTAAAGTTACACATACCACCTTCAAAAATGAACATTGAGAATAATAAAAAAGAAATCAATCCAGTTGCCAACAGTCAAACCTAGTTAGGAAAAAGCTAAATACAGTGGCGCAGGACAGACCAGATTAAGGAGGGAAGTTGATGTTTACTGACATTAAATAATATTTCACCCCCGGCCCAACTGGGAACCATCAACTTCTTCTCGAACAGGCTGAAGTCGACACCCACGTCTCGCCTGCATCCCAACACAGCCAGGCATTCGAACATCCTCTGTGGCCGTGTCGTGGCATTCTAAGCGGCGCCCTCTCGGTGGGAGGAGGGTGTACAGCGTGGCCCTGCATGGCCTGAAACGTTTGGGCGGAGGTAATGTCCTCTGCTCTCCCTGGAGCAGGGCGAGGAACTGGTTGGGGCGGCACATCCGAACAGGAACGCAGTGAGGAGAGGGAGGTAAGAGGAAGAAGAAGAAAGAGGAGGAGCCTCTTCTTCTCCTGTCGTCCTCCGGCTCTTTCCCTCTCTTTCTGCCTCACAGCGCTGTGGCCTCCCAGCTGGTCCCCCGCGGGACCTGGCGTCACTTGGTCTCTGTGAGCACCGGGGCCGGACCTGCTGAGGGATGTGGCCGGTTCAGCTCGGCGCCGGCGGCGGCGGGAGAAGACGCTGCAGATGCCAGACTGCAGGGTGTGGCTGGTGCAGTTACACCTGAGAGGGGAAAAAAAGACACAGACAGAGAAGCAGCGAGTATTACAAAGTGAATATTTTCAAAGGTGAAATATAAATATCAAACAGAACACAGCTTTTAATTCAGCTCCACCCATGAGAGTGGAGAAGGTCCCACATTGCCCCAATCCTTTCCTCCCTCCATTGGCTGCCCGTTACTTACAGGGCTGATTTTAAAATTATTTACATTATTTACATTACACAAACTTACATTCTTTGCGAGGAGCTGCTATGTCGTTGTCAATGGCAGAGGTTTTGTTGGCGGCCACGTTGGTGCCCGGGCCTTGTGCCGCCTGGCCGCTGCTTTGGCTCTGAGCAGGCTGGATCTGGCCCGCCGGGCTCTGGCTCGGGGCGGGTTTCTGGGCCTGGCTCGTCCTGGTCGGCGGGTTGGACTGGTCCATGCTGCTCCCCATGCTGCTGCCAAGCTGCAGCCGCCTCATGTGCCGGACCACGGCGGTGGCATTGAATGCTTGCTGGAGAGGAGAGGAGAGGGAAACGAGGAGGTGATGGTGAACAGAAACAGAAAGCTCTCACTTTGCATCAATACCTGTGTGTGTCAGAAAAAAAACATTGTGGGGAATCATTCTTATTTTATATTATTGATCTCCTGTTTGAGTTTGATTTAACAGCAGGGGACGTAAACTGAACGATACTGTGTCAGAGGAAGGTGGAAACGGGCCAAAACATTTGACATCTACATATTGTTTAAGCATGAGCCCAGTGGATTATGAATGTACTGTAATGGGATTATTTTTGAGATTTTTAAAAAGATTCAGTCATAGAAAAGATCAAAAAAGGGGATTCTTTGTTTGATAGGGGCTTTGAAGTCGCAGTCCAGGATCTGCTTTGAATGAACTGGCACTAGTGCAGAAATACCGTGATATGGTCTTCTGTTCCAGTTTATCTTCCATTAAAACCATCTGAGGTTCAGATATTACACGAGCTGGAAGTGCTATTAACACCCCGAGCTGAGGGTGACGTACTGTGAGGAGCAGGTCTTGAAGAAAGGGGGAGATTTGTTTCAAGTCTGCAGGTAAGTTTTATATAAACGTCTCAGAAGAAAAGTGATGATGGAGGTGAACTCTAGATCATATCAGGCCAGGTTTTTTACTACTGAGTGATTCATCTTCTCAAACACAGACTATCGTTTGAGTAGCCGTGCAGCCGAACCCAAAAAGGAATAAAGTGCAGTAAACATCATTTACCCTCCATTTGCTCTTGGCAAAGTTCTTCTTGATCTGACGACTGACTGACTCATGGATGTTCTTGCAGAGTGCTGTATCCCCGGAGATCCTGATAAATATAAACACACGCACAATCACAAAAGACCTCTGACTGTTAATCAATACTTATATTGATTTTATGCCTTTTTGCAAGCTTGTGTATGTGTGTGTGTGTCAGTGTGTGTGTGTGTGTGTGTGTCAGTGTGTGTGTGTGTGTGTGTGTGTGTGTGTGTGTGTGTGTGTGTGTGTGTGTGTGTGTGTGTGTGTGTGTGTGTGTGTGTGTGTTCCTCACCAGGGGTGTCTGAGAGCCAGGTCGCAGGTGAAACGCTTGGCTGGATCTTTTTCCATCAGGCTGCCGATGAAGTCCTTGGCTGGAGGACAAGAAAACATGACGAAGGCCACAAAAGGTAAATCATTTCAGACAAATAAACACCTAATCAACCGTAAGCAGCGTTTTTTAAATTCAATTATCAGGATAATCTACAAATGAAGGCTATCTAAATTTAAACCTGCCGTCTGTAAGACCATTATCTTTCCATAAACTGTCAACAACATGGACGTGGTCTCAGTCAGTATGTTTATATAATGTAAAAACAACAACAACAACGATTCATTGTGTTAAGTGCGACTAAAACTCAACTTTTAAAATGCAGGTAAACATTACGTTAGATTGACTGAAAACCTACTGAATCTAATTTCTCTAAACCAGCTGAAAACACCTCGTTGATAATAATAATAAGATATAATCTCTTAATCCCATGAGGGGAATTTAAATGTACACTTTGTTATAAGCTTCACACACAGGCTGAAATACACACACATGCACAAAAAGGATCCTATGGACATGTACTGATAGAGAGATGTCAAAGTGAAGGGGCTCCTGAGCGCTCACAGTTCCCGTGCAGGGCTTTGACTTGGAAGTTGAGCAGCATTAATGCATAGAATAAAAACCTTAAAGAAAACAAGGTGCAGGTATTGACATGGTAAATGATTGAGCATGTACCACACATTTATATACAGACAAGAAGACACCGTTTATGTTGTGTCAGCTGAAGGAGTTAAACATACTGTACATGCAGGGAAGGAAAACAGTTTACCATTTGACAACTTGTTTGTGGATTGTTTTGTATGAGATGTAATAGGTCAACCCGAAGGTCCAACAGTAACTAGCTGAAAGGGGACGTTTAGCCTGTTGTACAACACTAAATGAATAACGAAAGGAGAACTTCAATTATTGCCATATCCAAAATGCATATGCCAAATATCTGATAGCATCTGAGAAAGACGCATAAAACTATTACTAACCATGTCAACCTCAGGGTGTGAGTAGAAGAAGAAATGTAACACCAAAGTTATCAGTATCATAAATGTCTCTACAAACTTTAATTTCATTCCTTCCAGTAAATAAATGTTGGACCTGCAGTCAAAGCATGGCGACCAACAGTTCCTATATTAGATTGTAAATGACACAAACTGGACTGGAGTTACTCCGCTGGTTTTACTGCCAAGCCTTTACAGCTGACTAATGATGACCCCTTCCCCCCCCAAAACACAAACACACACACACACACACACACACACACACACACACACATTCTCAAACACATTCATTCCAGACAGATGACGTCACAGGCCGTGATGGAGAGGAGGTGTGTGGTCCATATGTGCCTCATGGTGGTCGACGGACGAGAGGAAGGGGAAATGTTGAAGAGGAGGGGGGGGATGGAGGAGGTAAAGGAGGGAGGCAAAGGCTCACCTGAGTCCGATATGTCGTCCCAGTACGGCGCGTCAAACTCGTAGTCGGCTTTCAGGATCTGTTCAAAGAGTTTGGAGTCGTTCTCGTCGTAGAACGGCGGGTAACCACACAGCCTGCAGAACGGAGAGTTGTTCAATCAATGATTCACTTAATAAGTCAATCATTTAGTCTTTTCCTCAATCAGCCAATGATTGATTAGATA